AAAGGTAACCTGGGCCTAACTCTAAGGAATGCTACAAAAACATGACCAAAACAAAGAGGTTCAAGGCTATCCTTACCAAAAGAGATAGCGTATCAGAAGATACAGGAAAATTAAACAGAGCTTACTTAGTAAGGAAATGCTATGGACGATTTCACATGAAAAGCCAAAAGAGAATACTGGGGTTACGTTGAACTTCCCTTGAATTTACAGGCAGAACACGTAGTGTTCCCTTGATTAAATGACAACAGCCATGAGAATCAGCAGGTACCTCAGTCTGAGGCACTGTAAGAGCTCCATATTCCCCTACAGAATCTTTTCAAATTATAGAAAACCACTTGGAATTTTGAAATGTTAGCAACATGAACTTTCTTTCAGTGAGAGGTGTTTCTAGGCTCATCACACTATAACTCTGTAGAACATCACATGTGGGCTACAGGTGGTAAGCTAGCTAGGATTGTTCTATATACAACCTGTGGGGGCCCCGTGTGTCAGGAGAAAAAACTTTAAAAACCTTAAAATCGAGGGTTCAAACAAATTTTATTTAGATAAAATTCCTTATTAGTATTTTTTAAAATTTCAATCTTCTGAAAAGCATTTGTTGTTGTTGGTTTGCATACAATCTGCAGATTCAGATTGAGATCTACTAGGTCTTCCAAAAGATCAACTGAAGGAAACACGTGGGACAATTTGCTGTTTGGGGACAATGAATGTTACCCGCCTTATCTTCATTTCACAATCAGTGACACCTTCAGTCCACAAGTTAGTGAGCATCAGAATCATTAGTGATGCCTGTTAAAAATTCAGATTCCCAGACCTCACTCCCAATGGCTGTGAATGCCAGCAGTGCTGGGGCCAAGAAAGTGGCACCTTCAACCAGCACCCCAGGAAAACTCTCTCGTGCACTGTTCTCAGACTGCTTACCAGGATGTTTCCTTGCAAACTGGAAAGCAAAAGTAGCATGTGACTTATATATAGAGTCCTGAAAACACAAACAAAATTGCAATCCGCAAGCCAAGACCAATTTCCATTTCACTCTCTCTCCCTGCCACGAGATGCACCAGAAGACAGCTACAGCCAAAAATCACATGTGTATAGTGAATCCTAAAAAGCAAACTACATCCAAATCCACACTGAACCATTCTGAACTCTATCACACTTCACAGAGCTTTAAATAGAATTCTACCAGAAACATCATACCCTGACTGGCCAAGGGATTCTTTGGGTTCTGTTGCTTTATCCAAGTGATCCACAGTGACCCCAGGTTCCACGCTCTGCACGTTCAGTTGTACACTCTTCTCCAAGTTGAGCACCGAAACAGAAGGATTTAAAAGAAAACACAAATATTGGCATAGGTGACTTGAGGTTGCTTGACCTTTCCGAAGGAAGATTTTTGGCAATGGTGTCTTGGCAGCTCCCTGGAAGGCAAGGCCAGGACACAAAGAGGAAGACAGGAAGCCGGGAACTGGCCATGTGTCCTTGGCAGGCAGCAGTGCAGCAGGGTGAACCACCTCGTCCCTGCCAAACCAGAAACAGTGGGGAAAGCCCAGCTAATTGGCAAGTCACAGCCGGCTACAGTGTACATCCTTCACTTTAAATGCCTGATAAAATTAAATGGTATGCCAGACCCTAATCTACTTAAACAGGATCCAACTTTACTTTCGGAAACTTAATTTGCTCCTGCTTGTGCTTCCTCGAAAAAGTGGTGAAGCAGTATCTTAGGATGGTTGACGGGCTGGAGAGATAAAACCAAGTAAAAATGTACTGGAGTCTAGGACATTTGGCTTTTTGAAAGGGCCATATATATTTGTGCTTTCAGTTTTAACTAACAAGCATCCTACTTGCTCATTTATTTTCATTCAGAGGAAACTGTGAAGTTGACATTGCGTGTTGAGGATGGACCTCAGCACATGTGAAGGCAACAGGTATTTTAAAAAAGGACTTAACAAAACCTGCTAAGATACCCCAGGAGACCACAGAGCTGCACCCAGTTTGCAGCAGGCTATTGTTTGTACTTACAGATTAGTTGGCACAAACACACTTTCTAATATAATCTGTATGTTCTAGCATAATATCACCATTTTCTGAGTCTTTTACTGCTCAGCTGGGGAGTCACACAGAGAACAGGTATGGAGGGGACTGTACAAATAAAGCTCACTGCTGCAGTTAATAGGGTAAATTCTGGGACCTGGAGCTAGATGCATAATTTTACCCCCAGGGAATGTCTGAAGGCTTCGGAAGAGCAATTAAAGGGGTATGCTCAGAGGTTGGGCACTTTTCCTTTTATTTTCTGTGAAATTGTTCATAACTTCTCCAAAATCCACACAAAACTTTCAAAGTAGCTCCAAAGTAGCTTTCATTACAGTAGCCAGTGGTGAAGTGAGATGGGAAAAAAAAAAAAAACGTATTTCCATCATAATTAGGAGAGGAGAGATTACAAATAAACATAATCCATTGTTTTCTACCAGATATTTCTTAAGGTCTACAGATAATTCATCCTTTAAGCAACCCAGAACCACAGTCTGACAATCTGTTTCACTGAAGTCACATGCTGAGGGGTAAAAGGCAAGGGGGAAACTTAACACTGCCTGACAATCATTTAAATTAAGCAAATAATAATCTTTATACCCAATACCAAGCTCTCAGAATCAATAAGTATAGATGTGTCCTAACTCTAAAATCACTGTTTCTATAAATGACAACTTACCTTGACCTTCTCAAACTCTACCTAATTGACTTTGGACACTAAGTATCTGCAACTTCTAAAAATTCACCTTCCCTTTTTCTCCAGGGAACCAATCCTTCCTAGTTCTAAGCCTGTCTTTTGGGAGTGTCTTTTCAATCGCTATGGCTGTCTCCTCATTTGTAGGGTCCTTGCAAGTTGATGATCTGTAAGACAACCAAGCAAGTGGACTTCCATCTTGTCTTTATTGGTTCCCCCTGGACAAACTCAACCAGCTCCATGTATACAAATATTACCCATTTGTGAGGGATTCTAAATCTCTATTTCTAGTCCTAACCTCTCTATTCACCTGTAAAATCCCCACTGATGTTGCCTAGAGCATGACTCATACACACTCTCAGCAACCCCTCTTCCATACCTCAATTAACGGCATCCATACCCACTCAGTGGCCCAAGCTGAAAACTCAGACATCTGGAAACCCCATCTCCTTAAAGCCTTACATTCAATTTTGGGGCTAGACTCTATCTCTTAAGTCCACCCCATTGTCTCCTTTGGAAACGCTGCTAAAATCCCTCATTGAGCCTTCATGTCTCATATGACAATAGCTTCAGCCTCCTCAGACCATTAGGATTTATTATTCACAATGAAAGCAGACTCCATCCTCTGCACTGCCAACCAGGAGTCACAACACTTCAAACTTTAAAACATTTGAATGATTCCTTATTACCCTGAACAATCAATGATCTGCTCTTCATCACCTGGCCCCAACCTAGTCTCATCACCCACTGCAATCAAAAGACAACCTTCTTTCACCCCTTTCCCCATCTATGCCCAATTTCCCAATATGTCAACTCCAGCACACTCTGGAAATTCCTAGAATATGTTGTGCAATTTCAGGTCTCTATGATTCTGCCCACATAGTTTCTCTTTCTAAAATATCCCTTCTTCAAAGCTATGAACTCCTAATTCATTCTTCAAAGCCTTTGAACTCTTTTCTTAGCCTTACTTTCTCCCTGCTCAGAAGGCCACCCCCAAGGCCCACCAGTCCTTGCTATTATCTCTAATACATGGCTTGAATACTGCATTATAGCTGGTGGCACATACGCTGCTTCGCTGCAGAAAACTGTGACCTCTTTGACTGTGACAAGATTCCCATGTATCAACCCTTGAGCTCAATCTACAATAGAGACCAAAACACCATTTGTTCCTCTCTTCTTGCAGCTTATAATTTAATCCACGTTGTGCTGACTTCATCCCCTACTGACAGATAAAAAGGGTTCTTTTTAAAATTGATAAACAGTATCCCCAATTATTATACTTTGAAAATAAAATTGACATAATACAGACATATATTTCACTGTGACACATTTTTTTGTTTGATTTCTGTTTTTAATGAATAAAACACCTGACAGAATAAGAGCCATTGTAAATGCCTTGTTTAACTGTGATAAGCAGAATGCACAAAGGTGATATGATAACAAAACAGCTATGGAAGCATGAAACAAAACTATAAAATAATGATACCACAGCTCTATAATTCTGACTTCCACCATCTCTCAGAATAGCTGAAAGGGATCTGTTGAGCTTTGGAAGCCAAACAGTCAAATATGACTTCAGATTGAAAATTACTTTATGGTCACACCCACAGATTGAATGGTGATGGAGCCAGATTAAATGAGGGATTCAAAAGGAGTCCTGAGGGGAAAACATTATAAGAATGGTTTTCTATTAAGGAAATCCATCATTAAGAGGAAAAGCTAAGTTTTAAAAACCATAACCCAGGCAAAATTTCTAAGTGGTAAGACATGAAAATACAACTTGAAAATCTTTTATCTTAAAAAAAAAACAACTATTCATATGTATGGCATTTATACGGTGCTCTCTAGTCGATCTGAGAAACATAAGCAAATCTATGCAAAGAGATATCCTGAAACGTGATGTCATATTCCTTATAAAAAAAAAAAAAAACCCTTCCTTTTTCACAATGTCAATTAAAACCAAATTTAGCTTTAAAACTCCATGACCTCTACCATTTTTTCAGGTTAGTTGAAAAGGATCTATTGACTAGCTTTGTGAGCTGAACAGTTGAATGCTACTTTAGATAGAAAATTATTTCTTTCACTCTATAAGAATAATTATCACGGCGATTACACAATTATTATAATTATATCTGTAAGAACTGTTATTGGGAATTTATCTCTTGAAACAGTCTCATGCCTTGCAGGGGACATTTATCTTTTTTAATGATCACCAACACAAGTGTCTTTTCTTGTAGCTATATAAGTGATTTTACCTCTTTCTATTAATATCCTCTCGCAGGCTTTAGAAGCCAAAGGAGACAGCCCCCACATTTTTCTCCTTCAAGACATTGTTTCAGTGAAGCCAGGCCTGTAGCAGTTTTTGAGACAGAAAGCTTACACCTTCCCTTCATGGCAACACAACCTTCACCATGTGCTTTCCTAAATGGATGGAAAACCCCCCAAAAAAGCCCCTCCAATCTGTGTTTCATAAACTGTACTCCAAGAGAAGTAGCAATAAAGTTTATTACAGACCTAAAGTATCTGCATAAACCCGGTTAATTGAAAAGTGGGTGGAGAAGGCTGCCAAATTAAATGTTTACATTAGCACAGCTGTATTGTAAAAACATTCTGCCCCCTGTGCTTTGTAATTATAAGATATTTCTGGACTGTGTATCTCTACAAAGTTTATCTCCACTGCCAAGAGTGTCTTGGCACGGAGAGGCTGCAGCTCTTGGCAGCCAGGAGCCCTGCGCGCGGGCAGGATCTAAAATGGCTGCCAAGCGGCCTCCTGAAATGTCGCCGGCCTGGCCCGCCTCGCCAAGGGCAGAGGGCAGCCGGCGGCCGGGCAGACCCACGACGGCCTCGCAGGAAGCCAAGGCGCACATTTCCCACAGAAAGACGGCCTGCTATCACAACTTTTTTTCTAAGTTGCTTGAAAAACTACAAAGCAATATTGCAACGTTCCAAGTCATAAAGTGGTGACAGGGGTCTTTTCTGAATCCCACTCACATGTCAGTGACGCCTATGCCCACAACGTTTGCTGCTCATGAGAGAAACTTCATGTAATTTTCTGGGGAAAAAAGTAAAGTCAGAACTCCCCACTACAAGGAAATACACTACAGAAAAACTTGAGCAAAGACCAATTTTCCCATTTGCAGTGCATGATTCTGACTGGATTTAGAGCCTGTGGCAAACCATGTGTATATGCAAAATGAAAACCAAAAAATATATTTGCTTCCTTCTCTTTCGTTAAGGAGCGATGCTTCTCTTACATCGTTAAAGTAACAAATCTGAAGGGGGAAAAGTTTTCTATGGCAAATATCCATAGCACAAAACCCACTTAATTGTAAAAATTGAGACGAAATCGATAGTGACTGCAAGTTCCAAGAGCTGACCAAAAGGAGGGAGGGCTGGGGAGAGAGGGACTGCATGGAACTCCAGCCATCCAGTTTACTCCTGGGTGTGTGTGTGTGTGTGTGTGCGTTCAGTCATATCTGACTCTTTGCGACCCCATCCAGTTTACTCCTGGTGTGGTGTGTGTGTGTGTGTGTGTCTGTGTGTGTGTCTGTGTGTGTGTCTGTGTCTGTCTGTGTGTGTTCAGTCCTATCTGACTCTTTGCGACCCCATCCGGTTTACTCCTGGTGTGTGTGTGTGTGTGTGTGTGTGTGTGTGTGTTCAGTCATATCTNGTCTTACATTGTAAGCTGCCTTCAACACCTGGGGTATAGTAAGCACTCAACAAATATTCGTTGAATTAATTGGGAAATCACTTCTTTGAACCTTTTTTCCTTGGTAATGAAGATGGCTTATCCTGAAAATATGTACTTGCCTCCCTAACATCAGTCATAACTATTTTCCTTGTCACTTTAAAGGAAGAATGACAGTTATATTTATATTATATATATAATATAATATAATATGTATATAATATAATATATATAATCCTGCACAAAAGACATATGGGAGTTTTTAGCCATTGTTTAATCAGTTATCAAGAGAGTCAATCACATAGTGTACAACAGCAGGCCACTCTTAAGTGACTGGTGAACCAAAGTTGGTGTGTTAAGAAAATATTCACTATTAACTTACTAATACTTTTAAAACTTGAGCTTCGGTTTTTTTTTTTCACTTTCAAGTAAGTTTATGGTTTGATACCATAACTTTTTTTCTTCCTTGAGAGTTCCCAAATTCTAAAATAACAAACTGTTTGACAAGCATAGGAATTTAACAAATGTTGATCTATCACCTACTACATGTAGAGACTCTGCTATAACATACAGAAATAGGAGATTAAGACATATCCTACACAAAACACTAAAAAATAGTTTCAGATTTTTTTTCTTATGTGAGTCATTTCAGGTACATATTGCCAAGTAGATATATTCTGCATCCCCAACTAAAGTACAAGTGTCTAAAAATCATACACTCACTTTATGTCTCACTGAGTACATAAGACATTGAAATACATATAAAATAGATCCCTACACTGGAAAGGATCCTAGTGAGGATAAATGCAATTAGTTACATAAAGCACCAGTGCCTCATATGTTCTATGTGTTTAAATATTCTATACCCTCTCCTTCATCAGCAGATATCTTCTGGATAAAGAGCAATGAAATAATGGTAAGGCTAATAGTCAATGGGCATTTGTTTACTTGTCCAAGAGTGTTCTCAGTACTATAGGTGGATTTCTTCTTTGCAATAAACGCTGTGTGATCAGTATTAGCCCCATTTTCGGGTAAGAAAACTTGCCTCAGGCTATTCCACAAACAACTAAAACAGCCAGGAATTAAACTCAATCAAATCCGACTGCAGAGTCCCATATAAATCTGCTAGTTTCTCAAATTAGAAGTGTCACCATCAGACTGAAAGAGAGGCCAGGTAGAGGTTACTCCTCTACAATTACAAGGTTTTTTGGGCAACCTTCCTAATTTTTGACACATAATGTCCCAATTTTCCTGGCAGAAGCCTCACTTGAGTGAAGGCTGCTGACTGTAGTGAGTTTATGTTGTGGTTTGGTAATGTGCACAGGCTGGGAGAAGGATGAGACCAGAAAACCCTTTTTGCCCGTGGCAGGCCACAAATTGAGGACTAAGTCGGTGCATGCAGTTGAATGGCAAAGGGCCAGTTCAGCATGAGCAGCTCAGTGCCATGATAACACGTGACCACCAGACACCCTTTTCAAAGTCACTGCCCTCTTCACTCCCCACAAACCACCTAATCGCCCACCAAAGTTCCGAGACTTCACCACAGGATCAAGTAATTCCCCCCTCTAAGCCACATCTTGCAAATGACAGTCTGATTTCTCCCCCCGTGCCATTTTCCCCTTGAATGTTATTGCAGGCTTAGTGGTACTTAACCAGGGTTTGGGGTCTGATCTATTTGTCTACTGATACAACATGGCTGCAGGGGGGAGCCAGCTTCCATTGCCACCTAAAAGACAGCCACCAACCCACTCTCACCACACCCTCCTCCTCATCCTTGAATGAATGCAATTCAAAGAAGTACAAGGGCAAAATGCTTCTTTGCTTCAGTTTAGGTGGTTAGTTTCAACACAGAGCACAGAATCATCAAACTCACAAGGTCAAGCAACACAGGATGATGTCTTCACTCGAAAATACAGCCAGCCACACCCAGGCTTCAAAATCTAAGATGAAAGATTATTTCCCATCTCCCAAATAGTTTATTTCCCCCCAAAGTCACTTTGAATCATCTTTCACATTTTATTCTCTTATTTGTAATCTTATTTTAATAACCTCAAGATAGATCATTTTTAGAACTCAAGGCAAAGTTCTGGCTCATATTTAAGAGAATAAACTACTAGGTGTTAAATTCAATGGCTGTTTGAATTTTCAATGCAATTGGTACCCATTCTAACATCAAGGTTAAACTGTCAAAGAGAAATAAATTATGCATATTTCTAAATTTGTTAATTTAAGAAAACTGAATTACTCTCACTTCCACTCCAGACAAAACCATAGATGAATTTATGTCTCAGAAACTTTAGTATGAATTAAGATCAGACTTACTCATGCTAACTTACTCAAATCCATAAAAACAAACATGACCTAAACTTATTCTACTGCCTTGCAAGGGTAATATACTAACATTCTCTGGGTAGTTTTACTTACCAAAGATTTTTTTTTAAATAACTGTTCAGAACTACTTTTTATAAAATAGTATAAAATTTCCTCATATTCCCCATATTATGGTCACTCCAATGACCATAATATAAAAATCATTTTGCCAAAAAAATTTCCTGGAAATTTTCCTCATTTGAGGTGCCTGTGATTACTTTCACAGACTGAAAAAGACCACTCAACATTCTTTGAAGGTGCACAGTATTCTATTTAGGGGAGAAAGTACATATTTCAAGACACACAAAAATATTCATCATTTTTCAAATAGCTGCAGCACGAAATTTACCTAGACCTGATTGATTCAGTCTATTTTTATATTTATTTTCAATATGATATGATTTCTGCCCTCATTCCCTACTTGAAACACTCCACCATTAGGGTGGTAAGGAGAAAATGTCAAAAGTGGAAGAAGAATGAAACTGTATGAAAATAAAAATGCCTTCTGATTTAAAAAGAAAAAGTTTTCTGATAACTTACATGTCAGAACAGACAGGAAAGAAACATTTAATGCTGCTTACTCAGATTTCTTTCCCACATAATCTGCACAAAATTATGTTATCTCTGCCTTTTGAAGAATTAGTAGATCATAGACTAATTTTTTTTACATAAATAATGAGAAAATGCTGCAGTTTATGCTTCAGGCTAAGTTTTTCACCAAGAGTTGTTTTTTTTTTTTTTAATAGTCATTCTTACCACTTACTTAAGAATGTTCCTTTCATCATTAAATAATTGTTCATCTCAAATACTGAGCTGGTATTTCTTTAAACAAAGGCCATGTTATTACACTGGTGATAACTTTAGGTTTAAAAGAAAAAAAAAGAATCAAAATTGATCAGCAAATGCAAGGACAAGTCCTGACAAAGACTCAACATTTATTAGAAGGCAATTGCTAGAGAACGTGGCCTTAATTGTGCATACATATTTTTACTCATTAAGATGAATAACCAATAAAATCCCACACTATGGTGTCCCAGCCTTATAACACATTAATAAAGTTTCTTAAAGGTTCTGGCAGGGGGCCAGCACAGTCCATTAACTCTTTGCAAGTTGTAAAAAGAAGGAAAGTCATTTCAGGCTGTTTTGTGGTTATGAATGAAACAGCAGGCAGCCTGTATGGAAACGTCACTTTGGATATGGTATTGGTAATGGATGCTTTGCTGCTATCAGAATAGTGTGGGGAGAAGTTAATGCACCCCACACAGCCCAAGCCCTGATGCACTGCAAAGCTAATCTAGTTAAAGGTGGAGGGAAAAGAGCAGAGGATTCAGGTTCAGAAGATCTGTTTACTCTGCTAGTACACTGTCACACTGCATCTGGATAATCGTGCCCACTGTGAAACACAAATTTTTATAGAATGCATTTGAAGTGACGA